ATTTTGCACTGTTTTGCACTACAAGAAAGAAGCCTAATACTTGATTTGTTTATTATTTAAAAACTTTCTGGACCTAGTGGTGGAATTTTTTTAATTCAAAATATATGATGGCAAAAGGACAGCCTGTGCTTTTTAAAAAATTCCTATTAAGTTTTATACCCAAAACATATTGCGATATATATCTTTATCGCCACCTTTCACAATACATATCGTGATATGAATTTTATGCCATATCGCACATTCCTATTGGATAGCAGCAAAGGCTTTTTGTAATAAGTTTAATAGCCTGAGTAGGAGTGGATCCAGTGCAATAAATAACTGTGTCGTCTGCATAAAAATGCAAATTAGCATCAGACACGTTCTGTCCCAATTTATTTATATAAATTATGAATAGAAGAGGACCTAATATAAATCCATGCGGTACCCCCTTATGAACTGTTGCAACTTCAGAACACAAATGATCATATTTAAAACATTGTGTCCTATTCCTGAGATAATTTGTGAAGCAAGCAACAGCTTGTTCTGAAAAAGCACAGTCCCGCAGCCTGTGATCAGAATTTCATGGTCTACAGTATCAAATGCTTTTGACAAATCAACAGAGAGCCGCACAGCACCGCTTCTTATCAAGAGTGACGATAATGTTGTTAACCACCTTCAAAGCAGCTGTTATGGTACTATGCCTCTTTCTGAAGCCTGACTGAAAGGATGAGATGATGGTATTGTGAGATAAAAATTATTTAACTTGGTCACTCACATGAGACTAAAATTTTTGCCAGCACAGAAAGATTAGATATTGGCCTATAGTTAGTTAAAACTGATGGATCACCACCTTTTAATAAGGGAAAACAAAGGCTGATTTCCAAATTGAAGGAATTTCTTGGTTTTCCACAGTAAGGTTAAAAAGTATTATCAGGGGCTCAGCTACAAGTTCTGCTGCCGTCGTTAAAACTAAAGGTTCAATTAGATCAGGTCCATGAGATTTCCTCGGGTCCAAAGCTTTGAGGGCTTTTTGAACTTCATTAACAGAGAATGGCACAAAATTGAAACGATCACCTGAGAACACAGGGTGGGTTGCACAAGGTGCAGCAAGATCAACTCCCTTGGAAGAAAATAAAAACCAGATGATATAAAATGCTTGTTAAAGCAATTTCAAACTTCCATTCTGTTAGAAACAGGAACAGAGTCTTTTACAACAAAGGCAGGCAAATCCTTACAGCTATCACTCACAGTGAGACTTTTAATTGCTTTCCAGAATGTTTGAGGATTATTTAGATTCTCAGCAGTAACAGACAGATAACAATCAGATTTAGCTTTCTTAATAGCAGAGGAGCATTCATGTCTTAATTGTCTAAAGACAGTCCAGTCAGTGGGGAAGTTTGACTTCCTGGCTCTGGCCCAAGCCAGATTACGCTCACTAATGAAATCTACTAACTCTAATGAAAACCAGGGATTATTTCGCCCCTTTACCCTGTGTCTTTTTAGTGAACCTTCTTACAGCTAGATGCAGTCACACACCAAAATGGAAGCAGGCAAGTTGTTAATATTTCAAGTTATCCAGCTCACCAGATTAACATCAGAATCAGCTTTATGTGCACGTTGCACAGAAGCACAACAAACTTTCATTTCAGTACAGCCATCTAAAGAAACACAAACAACTAAACAACGTAGACATGGGTAGACGGGGTGGGTGCCTGAGGCTGCAGCCTCATGAGAGGCGCTGCCTTTTTCGCTAAATAAGGAAAAAGGAACATGAGAGGAGGTTAAAAAACCTTTTGCAGCTTCACACTGTGTCCCTGACAGGACACAGTGTGAAGCTGCAACAAAACCTCAGCACAAAAAAGCAACATACAGGCGACACAATAAGATGTGGGTGAGGGTAAAGTATGTGTGTGTGTGGGTGGGTGGGGGGGGGGGGGGGCTCCCGGGCAAAAGGAGGGACGGCAGCGAAGGCGGTGGGCTGAGGGGAGTGTGAGCTGTGTGAATGAGTGTATGCGTGTGTGCGTTTTTTGAGTAAGTCCATGAACACTGTTCCAGATAGCCCCACCCCCCAGACAGTGCATGATAAGTGATGGTGCATTTATCAGCCAGCCTCGGTAGAGCTCTGAGACAGGTCCATAGATGTCCTTCTGGAAGAGAACGGGTAGAGGAGCAGAGCGTGTTGTTCACATAACATCCAGGAGAATTTGAGATGATCAGCTGACACAGAGGAGCTACATTCAGTAACAACAGTTGTTGTGGCTCAGGCTGACTCCGTTAATTTCAGTCTGCCTTACAGTTCCACTGGTACATCTCAATGGCGACACCTAAGAGCCACATTTTGTGGTCAGTACCGCCGGTCCAAGCTTGTAACTCCTCCAAGGTTGATTCCTTCCAGCCCGCGAGGTTCAGGAGCCGCAAGTATCCTGCGATTCTCAGCAGAAATCACGTCCAGCTTACGGCTCAGGTCACAGCATTTGAGTCAGAGTGTTAACAACATGGCACATTCCTTCACAATGGCCAGAACAGCTACCAACGTTTTTCGACTTTGTTGATATGCCAGGTAACCAACCACCAACTCCAAAAAGCAGAAATCCTGTTATCATAAATCCAATTATGTACACGTCATCATCGTCCTCGACCGACAATATAGACAGATACACCATATTCCACTGCCCCCAGGAGTCCATCATGTATCCAGCTGCAAGCGTCCAGTCGGGGCAGGAGGGCTCTCCTTTGTCCTGTCTTCTTGTTGAGAAAATTTGATCAATTGCATTGAAAGACAAGCTGACCAGATCCATAATTTACAATTAGGAAGATATGCAAAGAGAGGCTCTGAAAAGGTTCACAGGACAAAGAGCAGAAGCAGGAGAAGGAGTGGGAGGAAAAAGCGTACGCCTTTGCCGAGAGCAAGAAGGAAAAAACAACAACAACAAAAAACATATATACATATAGGATAGCCATCATCTTGGATTTTGAAGTGGCAACCCATTTTTCTAAGGGAACTTTTCTTAAGTCTAGAAGTAGCCACACACCAACATGGGAGTCAGTGCCTCACTTATCTTTTAAATTATCATGCTCATAACGTGGGGAGTGGTGGCACAGAGGTTAGAAAAGACGAGCTTGTGATCGGAAGATCGCTGGTTCAACTCCCTGTACTGACAACATCAAAATGTGGGTGGGATAGGTGAAGCTCCCACACCTGTCTCCACCCCCATTTGCCCCACTCTGGGCCCTTGAGCAAGGCCCTTAACCCCCATCATCTGCCCCTCTGGGTGCCCCAGATAGCAGCTGTCTGCTCCACACAGAGGGCTGTAGTAGCTCGGTGGTCTGTGATTGCCTCAGGTTTCCTCTTCTACACAGAATGTAGTCGACCTGCGTACTCCTTCCTCCACTCTTATAGGTCACTCTGTGCTCCTCCCTCTTTTGGAAACAGGTGTTGACTACAGCCATTTACATTCTCTTGGTAAAATCCACCACCATCTGTCCTTCCTGGTTTCTTTCCTTGACACCAAACCTACCCATCACTTCCTCATCCTCCGTTTCCTTCACCAACATGTCCATTCAGGTCTGCTCCATCACCACTCTCTCCTCCCTGGGAATACTCTCTATCACTTCATCCAGATCTTTCTCCTCCTTATCACATCCAACCTGTGGAGCATAACCACTGACCATGTTTAGCATCAGACCTTCTACTTCTACCTTCAGACACATCACCTTATCTGACACTCTCTTCACCTCTACTACATTCTTTGACAATTCCTCCTTCAGGAGCCTAATGAACTTTTAATGAACTTTAGTTCAACATTAAGAGTGAGAGTTCTGCGATGAGTCAAACTAAAGCAGTCTGCGCCTCACATAAATAATGTTAAATTTGTTCAATTTAAATATGTGGTTTTGTTTCTTGTATACATATATTTATTTTATTTTAGTATAATTCTTGTTTAGTGATTTGTACATATGTGTGTTAGAATAAAGTTGAACTAATGGCAGTATCTCTTCTTTAAACATGTTTGAGGGAATTATTCCTGAGATCCAATAATTGTCTTTTTATGATTTTTCAGCTGAGTTAACTTTAATTAACAGATTATTTAATAAAGTTAAAGTGAAAACAGGATTTTATGATAAAGCCGGCACCGTTTATTTATTTTTAATCTTCGCTGATAAAAAATAAATATTTTTTTATACAGAAAATGTTTTTAAAAAACGTTTCCACCCTCGGTCCTGGTCCATCTGTCTGCCAGGGCTCAGAACCCGGCCTCTGTGAGCGCGCGAGGCCGGGGCCCTTCAACGGGTCGGCAGCTCGTATGATCCTCCACAGTGACTAGCTCGCTTTTACCGTTGGTCACCAAGCACAAAAAACGTCTGCACTTCAGCGTTAGACCACGGTGTTGTCATTATTGTTTTTAAAATATTAAAAATGGGTCCAGCCACTGCTCCGAGTTCTGAGTTATTGCAAATGGTGGATCGGTGAAAAGTTTTCTGAAAGATCCAGTGACTCCTCCCCTGAGGACCCCTTGAGAAGAAGGGACAAAAAAAGGGGTGAAACAAGTACAAATACTAGTGGAAAAGTGCTCAAACCTGTGGTGAACCGAGCATATTTGACTTGTGCTGTCAGTAGAAAAGGGCACAAGAGAGTAGAGAATGAATGTAAAAACAGAAGAGGGCTGAGGCAGCAGAATTACTGAGTGGTTTAGAGGCTGCTGCAATAATACTTAAGGCTGGTTGTTAATCTGCTCTGCATGAGGAACAAAGCCCGTCTGGCTGATCCTCTGTTCTCCACCCTGCCATCATCACCACTCAAACGTGAGCATTTAATTTTAATGCCATGACAGTAGGGTTGTAAACACACACAGAGGAGTGGGATCAGTGATCAGTACCAACCAAACAGTTCTAGAACTAGTGGGATTCACGGATCTTGTCACGTAAAACTCAAGAACGGAGCAGTAAGCTATTTGAGGATCAACACCTACTTAAGCCAAGCCTGGAAACAGATGGTATTTGGCTTTGTGTACTTGTATTACCTTAATTTGCTGTCGGTGCAGAGTTGCCAGTTCCCTGATGTCCCTGAAGGGTTGAAGTAGGTAGTGATAGAGCTGAGTCGTGGCCTCCAGCAAGTCTCCATACACCTCGTCTTCTTCTGGATACACTTGTAGCACACCCACCATGCTGTCCATGGCTTTGTGCCGGTCCAGCACCTGATATAAAACAAAAAAAGACAGACTTGAGATTGCTGCGTTTGTACTTTTTAATTGTCTTTTATGATGCCTGTGGATGTTTCTGTACAGCGCCCTGAGATGACGTGTGTTGAGACTTGGAGCTACAGAAATGAACTGAATGTGTGTGTTCCAGTTCATAAGACTGATGGACACATATGGTGGCCAACTGTATCCACTGGTTAACTGGACACCATTAACTCCACACAGACTCTCCCACTGGTACATTTTCATCTTTAAATCACTTCCTGGTCTGCTGCCTTCATACATCTCCTCCTACATGTCTCTGTGTGAGTGCAGCTACAGCGTGCACTCTCAGGACATCATTACCTGCAGTGTTCCCTCAGTGAGGACTGAACTAGACAAAAGGACCTTCTCCTACTCCGCTCCTGTTTCCTGGAATATCTTGTAAAAACATCTGAAGCTCTCGACCTTGACCTCTCTAAGTGGCTTCTGTGTGGCTTCAAACCAACTGAGACCATGTCTCTCTGTTGGTCTGGGAACACCTCAGAGTCCTCCCAGAAGAGCTGGAAGAGGCTGTGGAGAGAGATGTCTGGACCTCCCTGCTCAAGATGCTGCCCCCAGACCTGAGACCAGAACAAGAGGAAGATGATGGATGGATGGATTTAAATCTGTCCAATGGTTCATGAGATATTTTGCTAACAGAGTTGATCCCAACATGTAATGACAAAAGTAATAATAATCATGCAGTACAAAGGAAAGCAAACCACCAAGGACCCTTCCTTCACACCCTAACCCAGAAAAAATCTGTTTTATTCCCAGTCCAAACTAAAAGCAGTCCGTGGAGAATACAGGCCTGCTGTGGACTCTGGACGTCGGAGTGGGCACGGACATGTGGTGCTAATTTTCTTTGAGCTGTGTGAGGAAATATGGGGTGGTTCACCGGCTACCAGCACCCTGGGTTTCTGCATCAAAACAGCTGATTTTGACCACGGCACTGAGGAGGACTCCCGCAGTTCAACACCACATTCAGAGCCCGTTCTCAAATTGTGTCGTTGTCAGAGAAAACATTCGCTATTTTCATGTAAATGAACAGTACAAACACAACAAAACTCTTTCATTTTCATCAGAATTTTTTTTTATGTAAACAAGACCCAAGAGGATAATCAGGTTATTTTATCGCTCCGTCTTTGCCTTCAGGGGCTGAAGATGTCCTCAAACAGTGACAGCATGAAAGTAGACACATTGATGTGGTCTTTAATTTTAAGTCAGACAAGATTCAACTTTCTTTTTTTGCTTAACTTTTTTTGTTACTAACAGAAGGTATTTTTAGATGTATGTTTAAAAATTAATTTGAAGCTTGAGTTAAGTTTAGCTTTGAAGTCTCCAGAAGTCCCCCACAAGATGCAGAAGACATAATTAGAGGATTTTGCTCTCTGTGATAACAGTCTATCTGCAGAGCCTATCATCCAGACTGACCCTGTCCATGATAAATCTGCTGCGTTGCCACGGTAGTTTCCGTCTCTAAATGAGATATGACCCAGAAAGAGCTTTCACTGGAGTCCAAGCAGACACTCTGTACAAAGAACCTTTATTAAAACTAAATACTATCTGAAGGCTGTAAAACTAAACACCAGTACACTCCACTGTTGCCATGATGAATGATATTGGTGGCTGGTTTACATAGTTGGTGGTAGCCATCTTGGATTTTGAAGTGACAACCCAATTTCCTAAAGGAAACCTTTTCACGCTCAAATGCAGGTGCACACCAAAATGTAAGTTGGTATCTCATTTACTTTTTAAGTTTACGCACTCACAACAGTCACAGATGGACAGATTGACGAGGGCATTTCCAGTTTCCCCTTTTTCTCTCCAAGACGGAGGATAATAATAAGTTCATTATTGATTTTTTGTTTGTTGTTTTTTTTTTTTAGAAAACATGCAACATGTCTACATTTCATTTAAACCAGTTTACTTCCCACTCGGCTGTGAACCGCTCCAGTGAGAGCTGAAGTTCACGGCACGATGGCGCCAACAGGACCACATCATCTGCAAAGAGCAGAGAAGGAATCCCTCCGCCCCCTGGCTGCACTGAGAAATTCTGTTCACAAAAGTTATGAACAGAATTGGTGACAATGGGCAGCCCTGACGGAGTCCAGCTCCCACCCTGAAGTAGAGCTGTCATTTCTAACGCGGGCCCGAAGCCCAGCCCGACCTGAATTCAGGCCGGGCCATAATAATGTGCTAGATGGGCGGTCTGGGTTGGTGTCGGGCTTTTGATTGCGTCAGCAGATGTGCTTGCCTGACGATCCAATTACATGGCAACATGACTTGCCATACAATCACGAGCCGAATGCGGTCATTTGACCGCTCACTGACTGGCCTTGAGAGAGTTAAAAACAAAAAAAAAAAATTCAGTTAAGCTTCAGATGGAACTGTACTGTCAGGCAGCGATCCATCAGCCCAAATGGACGTTCAGCCGCTGCACTCAGCGGACGCGTGTGGCCGACAACCCAAACAGGTGAGATCCCAAAATATCCTTGCAGACATGTCAGAGCAGGGTCCATGTCTGAATAATGCAGAATGCAGGCAGAAGCAGGGATTTAATGCACTTTGACGGCCATGAAAGGACAAACACTCCCTCAGCTCCGATCGTCTGCCCCCTTTTACTCAGGTTTGTGCGTCCGCCAACCGTTAATAATTATATAAGCAGTCAAAGCTTAATTAAAAATGTCAGGGTTTTTTTCAGGTTCGGACTTGTAATTACTGTTAATTTGTCGGGTTGGGTTCGGAAATGATGACTACGGGCTGGGGCCGGGTTGGGTCAGATTTTTTGGGCCCAAATGCAAATCTACCCTGAAGAGGTCCGACTTACTACCAGAAATGCGAACCAAACTCTTGGATCACTTGTATAGGGACCGGACAGCCCATAATAATGGGCCCCCAATCCCATACTCACGGAGCACCCCCCACAGTGTACCCTGACGAACACGGTTGAAATCCTTCTCCAAGTCCACAAAACACATGTAGACAGGATGGGCAAACTACCGTGACCCCTCAAGGACCCTAGTGCAGGTAAAGAGCTGGTCCAGTGTCCCACAGCCAGGACGGAACCCGCATTGTTCCTCCTGGATCTGAGGTTTGACCAATGATTGGACTCGCTTCTCCAGTACCCCTGAAAAGACCTTACCAGGGAGGCTAAGGAGAGTGATACACCTATAATTGGAGCACACCTCCAGTCCCACTTTTTGAAGAGGGGAACCACCACCCCAGTCTGCCAAACTAGTGGCACTGCCCCCGATGTCCATGCGATTTTGCAAAGGCATCAACCAAGACAGAGCCCCACAACATCCAGAGCCTTAAGGAAATCAGGATAAATTTCATCTACCCCCCGGATGTAACAGGTACCCTGTGTACACAATTTCGTTCCATCACATGTACCACATGTGACAAATAAAGAAACTTTGACTTTGTCTTCTGACTTTGAGCCTTGCAGCCTCTGAGCTTTTTAACTACCTCAACTTAAACAGTCACAACCCCCGCGTTCTTTTCAACACCATTAACACCATTCTAAAAGTGCCTCAGTCTGCCACCATTAGCTATGTTTACATGCGCAGAATTCTTTGACCGGATTGAAATGTGATCTGTTTGAATAATTCAAATGTATTGTTTACATGGGAGGGCAGCACGGTGGCGCAACTGGTAGAGCTGCTGCCTCTCAGCGAGCAGGTCCTTGGTTCAAACCCCGGTCCAGGGGCCTTTCTGGGTGGAGTTTGCATGTTCTCTCCGTGCATGCGTGGGTTTTCTCCGGGTGCTCCGGTTTCCTCCCACAGACCAAAAAAACATGCATGTTAGGCTGATTGGTAACTCTAAATTGTCCCTAGGTGTGAGTGAGAGAGTGAATGGTTGTTTGTCTTGTTTGTCTCTTTGTGTCCCTGTGATGGACTGGAGACCTGTCCAGGGTGTACCCCGCCCCTCGCACAGTGATTGCTGGACATGGGCACCAGCGACCCCCGTGACCCAAAATGGAATAAGCGGGTAAAGAAAATGGATGGATGGATGGAAGTTTACATGGGCACAATCTGTTCATGACGAGCGTTTACCTGCAGTGGGCTTTGTTCTGAACAGCAGTACTGACATGCGCAGAGCGGTAAACTCTCCTTAAAAAACCACAGAAGAAGAAGTTCTACTTCCAGGGTGAACGTAAACAAACCTGAGCACCCAAAATGGACCCGCGACAGGTTTTAATGATGGTGGAGACGTTGCTGCACTCCCTGACTGAGCTGCAGGTGATACAGATCATTTTGAGCTCTTTCAAAGTTTCTAGTAGAAATGTTGTGTCGCTCACCGACCAGTTTTACTTCCCTGACATGCTAATATTATTAGCGTTAGCCAGGCGGAAATGGCAAAGTCGCACATGCGCAGTCAGGTCAGTTTTTTACGATCAGATAAAAACGAACAGATCAAGCGTTTACATGCGCACCGATCGGGTTACGGATCGGCGTAAACCACCCGTTTCGTTCTGATCACAAATTATATCGGATCGCGCCGAATACACAAAAAAATAACCCGAACGGAGCGTTTACATGACACACTTTTATTCTGACCTGCCATTTGATCCGGTTACTTATGTCCATGTAAATGTACCAATTGAGGCCTCTGTCGACACCTGTAATAAGTTTGTCAGGCATTTTGTTGAAAAGGTTGAGTCGATTAGGTCATCAATTCCACACTCCACAGCCGACCCTTCAGTTCTTGTCCCCTGCTCAGCAGTCTTCAGTCACTTTGACCCCATCTCACTCTCATTTTTAAATGAGGTCGTTGGCCACATGAAACCCTCAGGCTCCCCTGCTGATCCCATCCCTGCTGCATTTTTTAAACAGGTTCTACCGTCAACTGGACCCTCTGTTCTTGCCATTATTAACAGCAGTTTGGCTACAGGTGTGGTCCCTGATGTTTTAAAACATGCAGTGGTAACTCCATTAATTAAAAAACCCGGACTCGACCCTGCAGCTTGTTCA